TTAAAAAAACCCCAAACAAACAGAAAGCCACACAATAAAAACTTTCTGCACTTAAAACAAGAGATGTTTTGAAGCTGTGATGTATTCAATGTTCTGAAATTCTGCTCCTAGACACTATTAGGTAGGAAGTTTGCCTCTCCAGCACCTTCCTGGATATCCTGCTAGTCCTTGCAGCAGGAGATGCCTCAGACCATTCTAATGGCCACCTGAACTACAGGAGGCAGCCCAAGATGACCATTAAGGGAAGGATTAACTCAGACAATAGACTGGCCATTGTTTTGCTCCCCTCACAGACTGCATATTAATGTAAAAACCCAAAGCTAGAACAAATGCCAAAGATAAAGCAGGGCATTTTAGACTGAATAAGGTGGAGAGTTATTGATGTCCTACCAGCCAAACACAACTTTTTTCCATTCTTTGCTCGAAGCACTAAAACAATGTGACTCATAGAAAACACCAAAACTCTAGTTTAGCTTCCTCTGCTGCACTCTGCAGCTGTTACTCCTGCTCTTCAACACCAGCAATTGGATGAAGACTGCAAAATTGGAGTTTAATAGAGCCAAACACTGCAAATATAAACACAAGGAGGTGTTGCAAAAAGTTTGGTGGAGGTAGCAGGCCCCAGTAGGGACACAACATGCTTCTCCCAGCACAGCAGCGAGGAAGCCCAGCTACCAGGAACCTTTTTGCTGGGTAGTGCCATAAAACTGGTACTGTCATTTACATAACTGGTCAGCTTTAAGAGACTGAGGTCACTCTGCCATGCCAGCAGAGCTGTACAGCCAGCAGCATGAGTTCTTACAAGAGGGACTTGAACCACAGCATTCAGTGAGGTTTGTGCTTTTGGGCTCCTCCAACCAGAAACTCAGGCAGGGAGACTTTTTAAAAAAACAAAAAGAGAGAGAAAAAAAAAACAAACACAAAACTGTTCTGTGTTGGTTTTCCCTCCTGTTGTCACTCCCCTCCCCCAGCTTGTTAACTAAACTTTTCCTCTCCCGGGGATCTTTCTAATCCTTAGTAATGAATTTGCAGCATCAGTCACTTTGCAAACCCGCTTCAATATGAATCAAGTTTACTACAAGATCAAGAAAACACAGGGAATTCTAACAATCACATTGCCAGGAGGAGGATATAAATAGAAAAGAAGTAGCACTGGAAAATTGGTTTTCAATCATTTAAAGAAGGAGCATGCACCATACCCGGGGGCCTGGGCTAAGGCAGAACATCAGGATGGAAATGCACTCTGCAGAACCAAACACCAACTTCAGAGCTAAAAATCCCACATCCTGTTTTCAAGAATTATTAGGGACCCAAAAAAACTCTCTCTGTAAATTCAAACCTGAAGAGAGTCACCTGACTGTGACATTAATCCGAGTATGTTGAAACTAAGTATCTGGCAGGGATTTCACACTTGCCTGTATCCCTCCCACCAGGCCACTTTATCTGCAGCTGGGCTGGAATCCTCCGCACCCATGGCCTCTCAGAGCACCCATAGCAGCTTTACACTGAACTAGTGACTCCAAAACCGAGTTGTGGGAAGAGCTGACACCCCAACAGATGAATTGGGAAGTCACTTCCACCCACATTAATTCAGGAGAGCAGTCATTCCACGGTGTATCAACAAACTTGTTATTTACCACCTCAGATGTGTAATACTATCAGACTCGGAAAGTTTTGTGAGTTTTGGCCAGGTGCCTTCTGTTTTCCACGGAGGACAACGGGTTTAAGTGCTCAACTGAAGTTAAGGCAAACTGCTGAAGTTTGAGGGTCACACACTTACATAGCAAAGCCAACTTTCTCACTACAGAATTAAACAACTTGATACAGAAGAACCTTCTCTACACAGGAAGGAGCAAAATGAGTTCCTGGGAAGCTGAGCTGGGTTTGTCTCCAGCTGACTGCATGACTTGTGCCAATCATACCCCTGAAAATACTTTCTTTTATAATATGGCCTCTCCCATACAGCTGTAATCAACTCATCACAAACCATACACCAATTAAAAGCTACTTTTTAATTTTTGTTATGCTATACTGATAATAAAAGGTACTAAAGCGAATATGATTAATTAATCATATATAAATGCATGCATAATTAAATGATAATACCTGGTACTAAAGCTCACAATAAATATTCAGAGAACAGGTAAGCTGTCGACACAAATCCGTTAGGGGCCCCAGTGGTGCTATTCAAGTGACTTAAACCAAGCCTTGCATTACAGCTGCTATTCTTTAAATAAAAAGAGGAGGCAGAAAGGAAGCTGCAAGTGCTGTCTTCATGCCTAAGTTTATATCCAGACTGGAAGTTTACTTTAAGCAAAATGTAGGATGTAATGGGAAGACACATGAAAACAAAACCTGAGCATCCCTTTGACACAACCTAGGTCACCTGAAGGCCACAGCCAAGGGCCCAGCAAAGGTCCAGGAGGAAGGAGGCAGAACCAGGCCCAAGCTGGAAGCCTTTAGACAAAGCCTTTCCACACTGTGCCACCTCCCACAGCAGGTTCTGGGATACTGTCAAAGGGAATGCTTGAGAAATGGCAGAAGAGGCGACAAATGGAGTGAAACAGAGTATTTTGAATTGCTTTTTCATTTCTGTTCTGAAGAGTGACTAGTTAGCGAAAGATACATATATTTTATACATAATATTTTAATATAAATTTTTATACAATTATAATGCAACTAACTCAGGTACAGTGAAAGCTTCAGAGGTATCTAAATTACCTGGTTGTTTCCCACTCGCTAACTACACGAACAACACCAAATTAAGCTATGAAATTTAGGCATGCACAAAGCAGTCTGATTTATGGTCAGACTTAACCAGGATTCAGAGTCAACTAGGACACTCTACAGCCTTAGGCACAGCTCTTCTATTCCAAAATGTGAAGTTTTAGCCATCACTCCAGCCTCACTAAGAGAATGCTCAGGATGTGTTCGGCTGCATCTGAAAGCAACTACACCCGGCAGAAGGAAAAAACCATCCTTAATTTAAAGCTCATCAAGGACACTGGATGAAAAATAATGATAATTACTATCCTCCTAGTAAATATTAGAGGATCTGCACTACCACCAGTAGCACTTCCTCAGGGTAGGAGGGATGATGTCATGGCTGCATGCTATAGCATTGTCGGGTTTGCCTGGCTACACGCTGCTAACGGGACACTCCCTTACAGAACTGTGACCACACACTCAGCTTCCCTGCTACCAGCAACCAGTTTAATAAGTATTCCGAGACCCTCAATTAGCATACAAATGCAGAAGAGCCAGCAAGCAAATGAAAATCAGAAAAAAGCAAAAAAACCCCAAAAAACAACAGAGGGAGGGGAAAAAAGCGCAGAGAAGACAGCTGTAACAGGGTGGCAAACAAAGCTCCAAAGCATGAAAGAGAGAAAGGAATGTGGTTAAAAAATCTCCCCTAAGGAAGAATACTCTGTACTCCTAAGCTCCAGCTGTTTGACTTCCCCACTCCCTCCTCCACTCCATTATCCACTCTGGCTGTGCTAATTTAACACAAACCCCCCGCCTATGTCAACTGTTGAAAGGGGGGATTTTGGCAAAGCGGCCTCAGATGCATCCAAGCTCCGGGTGCAGAAAAGGGAAAAACTTTGGGGTGGAAAGTTGAGGCGCTTTTGGCGTGGTGTCGCTTTGTGCTGGGAAAGCTTGGGAAGCTGTGAGGGAAGGCAGCCAAGAGCCCATCCTGCTTCAGCCTCCAGCACCTCGAGCTCTGCCACCGCTTCCACACGCATCTCGATTCCCAGCCGGTAGCCAGATTTGCATGCAGCAAGCTCTGCCTTCATGAACAAAGCCACACAACTCCCAGCAAGAGCACCCAACAGCCCTCCAGTTCACGGCAGACACCCCATGGATGAGACAAGCAGGTCGGAAGAGCAAGGAGGAAGGGAAAAAAGGAGGGAAAGGAATAAACCGAGCCAACGTTAAAGTCTGGAGGCCTGGATTTCCATGGGGAAGGTATTTTCATGTTTGAGATACTATTGGGAGCACTGCGAGGGTTTGGAAGTCATATATGCAGCCAAAATGGCGCTGAGAATAAAAATATAATTTAAAGGAAGGTCGCCATATTGTAAACAGTGAGGCAGGGAGACACAGAGACAGCAACCTCCATTATTCCCAGCAGCTGCAGCAGCACGGAAGCGCTGGGAACGTCAGGCCTGGTGCGGAGACGCCACCAGGGCTTCCCTCTCTCCAGCCAGGGCCCTCCGGAGGGTCCCCCCCAAGCCAGGCACCCTTGGAGAGGGGTGAGGTGGGGAAGTTCCCCGCTGGAGGCGGGGGGGCAGAAGGCCGGGCAGGGGCAGCACCAAGGCAGCCAGGCCACGCAGCCAGCGGCCTCGCTCCTCCTCCAGGCCTCTCGCCCGCTGCTCAGCACAAAAAGAAAGGAGGAGGGTGGACCCCCAACCCTCCAGAAAGCAGGCAGGGGAGGATTCACCTCGGCCGCTGTGGATTAGTCTCAGGAGGGACGGACCAGAGTGGGGTCTGCACCTCCTTTTTGTTCCTGTCTGCTCTAGCCGGCCTCACGTCCCCCCCTCTCCTCCCCGGGACCTAACGGGAAGCGGGAGCGGCCGGAGGGAAGGTGCTCTGGGCAGATCCGGAGGGAGAGAGCGCCAAGCCTTACCAGCACTGGAGGTGGAAAGCGGCGGGGCAGTGATCGCAGCACAGCAGATCCCCTCCTTCCTTGCAGCTATCGCAGCTATCGTGGTTAGTGGCCCTGCCACTTCGCCTGGGCTCCTTCTCGGGCCTCCTGCTCTTCTTCTCCCCATCTTCGCTCTTGGGGGGAGCCAGGAGGGCCTGGATTTGCTGCACATGCACACACAGACAGAGCGGGCTCTGAGGGGCTGACCCTGACCCAGAGCGCTTCTCCCCGTGCCCGCCGGGGGGACAGCGGCCCTGAGCCCTCCGGGACGGGACCGGAGCGGGGACAGAGCCCCGGCCGAGCCCGCCCAGCTGCCCGCGGCCGCCGGCAGGTGGCGCCGTGGCGCTCCGCAGAGCGGCTCCTGCACTCACTTGCAGTCGCGGTCCTCCAGGTCGAAGTGCGGGTTGAAGTTGATCATGATGCGCTGGTAGGGCTCCGGAGCCTGGATCAGCCACTCGCACTTCTGGCTGGGGTGGTAGGACTGCGGGTAGCCGGGAGACGTCAGGTACCCGGGGCTTAAAATTTTGATCGTGTCGCCACACTTGTCTGCGGAGGAAGCAAACACGTGGGCTGGTCTCGGTGCCCCCGGCAAGCATCCGAGCGCAGCCCGAGGTAGCGGACTCGACAGACTGCCGTGGGAATGCTGCCGGGCCGCAGCCTCCTTCAGGCTAACCCAGCATCCTTCTGCTTTTAAAGACATCTGTGCTACTTTCTACCGGAGGGAACAGTACTCCCTCTCCATCCCCCCTTCCTTAAATCCGGTAGCCGGACAGGCAGCAGGTAGCAGAAGGCACCCCATTCCTAAACAGCGTGTTTTCAAGAAACCTCCCCACTCCAACAGTGCCTCTTACAGTGTTAAGGGACCTTGCATCCCCATAACCATGTTAATGTTGGCTAAGAGGGGTTCCTGGGAAACGATTAACTCCAAAAAACCATCCTCTTCTTAAGTACAAAGTTTTGAGTGGGAGGAGCTGTTAAGGGATGCCATTTGACCCCAGCTCTGGGGTAAGTCTGGTCTGTGTCACTGACCACTGGGATTGTATTGGTGGATCCAAGCTCATTCGCAGGAGACCCTGCCTTTGTTTTATCAGTCCATAAATCTAGGCAGGTTGAAACTATCTGTGCTCTTCAAACCCAGGGTAGAAGAGAACAAAGTAGCTCTAATGAAGCAGAAATCATCCGCTATTTACTCTTTCAAGGAAGTTTGTTCATGCTTGGAGACTGCATCAAAGTAATGGAGCAGAACAACCTCCCTTCCTCTTCCCTTCATTCCTTCCTCCCCTGAACAACAACAAAGATTTATTTCTAATACCAAAAGAGTTGCAAAAGTTTCTACAATCACAAAGGGTGCCTGTGAAATGTGGTATGCTGCATCTTGCTCCTTGGGTCAGCATTGTCAGGGCTGCATTTTAAGGTTTATAGGAAAAATAAAAAGGGACAAAAAGTCCAACCTACACAGTCACTCACTTCACTGTCCAGTGCAGGTTTGTGTTATCACTTTTTTTACTACTATGGGTTTCTTTCTGTGGATCTTCAGGTAGGAAAAACTTTCTCCAAGCATTGGTTGTTTAATTTTGAGCAACAAAACATGTCAGTAAATTATGGACAGGAAGAATGTCCCCACTAAAGCAAGACTATGTATCACTACACCTCAATAATGTTGTATACAGGCTGCAGTGCTCTAATACATTCCCTGTGAAAGCAAAATGGCAATCCTTGCTCTCAGCATGAATTTATAAATATACAGGATTTTATTCTAGGAAAAACAGGTCAAATGGAAACAAATGGGGAAGCGCACATCAAAAATGCATAAAGCAAACACTCTTTATAGAAATTATTTGCCATAAATTAGGAGGGAAGGGGTTGATAGGTACTCAGATGTATGGTCAAGATCCAGATACTGCTAAGCACACTGCTGGGAAAGGCTATCTTATTATATTTCTGCTGTGCCTTTGCAAACCAGGCTGTTTTCCTCTGACCAGAACAAAAGGCATTGCTGCTCAAAGCTCAAAAGCTGTCACTGGTGATCCTGCTAATCCGCTGTCTGGGGCTCTCAGGGAATCTTGCCTTTTCCTCCCTGTGTAAGCATACTCTGAAAGTGATCTTGTCTCATTAAGCCCACTCCATCCCTGCAAACAACATGGCAGAGTCTGGCATCTGTTAAATGCCTGAAATAAAGCAGTGCTGCTTCTAGTCACTTGACAGAGTCACTTCAGAGGGTACTGAGGTGGACTCACTACCACCAGCACTCCTTAATCTGCGACTTCTGGGAAAGTGACAGTGTATTAAGATAATGCGGTCTGCTAGACTCCTTGGCTCTGTGCAATCTCTCTCACACTTGATTAAGAAGAGCAGTTTCTAATGACTTTGGACCATTAGTTCCAAGTAAGGTTAATGAATTAATTTAGTGGACACTAATACTGCATGTAGGTGAAGGTGGCATTAGTAGGTCTGGTAGGTTACAAAGGAGGTTAATGGCCTTGGTGACTCCAGCAGGACCACCACATTAACCACTTACAGTGGAGGCTTCTGCCCAGCAACTTGCTCTCCTCCCCTTCTTTTCACAGGGAGAAATGATCAACAAGAGCATGGGGGTGGCCCCCTTCTGTCCCTCAGAGGTACAGGGTGGCAGTATGGGTCTATGTGGGAGGCAGCTGCCCACACCCAGAGCTGGGCTGGGGGGATGAGCAAAGCGCAGCTCTCGGAGCATCCCCACAGCAGGCTTGGTGCACTCCTCAAACACCAGTGCCACAGTGCTGGAGAAGGAAGCTCGTCCTGATTAAACTAAGCAGCCTCCTCAAAACATATTGGGAAGGAGATTAACTTCCATCATAAAACATGCGATTTTAATACTCTTGCTTGACACTCCACTTGTGGTCCCTTATTAAAACAATATACCAGTGTAAGTGGAGGGTGCTCTCTTCTTTTAATTACTTTGATTGAAAACCCAGTCAGGCAAAAGTAAATATTTAATAATTAGTTAATAATAATTGCTCAGGATTTGTCAGGAAAGGAAGACTCACATGAGCTGTTTCATGTGCAAGAGCTAAACGTCAAGCAGTCCCACAATTAGACCATCTTTAAAAATCCATCATGCAGTGAAATACTCACAGTGCCCTGGCATTGTTCGGGGAAGGAGGAGCACGCTGCTTTTAATTAGTTGTGTTTTCGAGGGCTGCCTGACAGTAAACTAGCCACACCACTCATTTCTTTAAGGAATTTCCCGTCTTGGAAGGGAGTCTCGAGCCTTCACAGAGAAGCTCAGCTCTCCTCTTGGCACAGAGTAAGTTGCACGTAAACTGCAGACTTGGGAAAGGGGTACTCTAGAGAGTTCTCTGTGTGAAGACTATTCGCAGGTACACACACAGCTAGTAGGAGGCATAATCTAAAATTTTACGCTTTGGAAAACAGAAAGGGCGGGCGGGGAAGAGAATCTTCCCTTTAAAGTCTTCATTATCTTTCAGATATCGAAGGAGAGACGTTTAATTGCCTACGGGACGGGACATTATTAAGATAATTGGCTGTCCTGATCTAGTGAGAGTGAGCAGCCTGCTTTATACAATAACCCGAAAGAGGAGAAAATAAAGTCGGAAGGCAACGTCAGAGCGGGCGACCCTCAGCGAGGTCTGTGCCGCATCCCTCCTCCGGCAGAAAGTTCCCCCCAGCCGGGTTTGTGTCGCTGCCGGTCCCACGGCCCGCCGGGCCCCACCGCCCCGCAGCTGCCCAAGCCGAGACCCGGCTGACACTCACCGCTCCGCAGAGCCCTGGCGAGGGTGAAGGTGAGGGCTGCACAGTGCAGGAGAAGTCCCCAATCCATTTTCCCTTCCGACAGCAGGGAAAAGAGGAAAAAAATAAAAATGCCCTCCACGCACAACTGTTCCTTAAATTCTCCAGCAGGAATGAGGAGCAGAAAGCACGGTCCGCAGGGGCAGTCTCGGGGGCAGAAGGAGGCTGGCTTCTCTCTGTGCCTCAAGCCGCCCGCATCCTGTCATTTAGCTCCGGCTCCCTCTTCCTTTCCCCACACTTGTTCCTTTTCCAAGCGCCGCTGCCTCTGCCATTCCCAGCGAGACTAGAAAGCCAAGTGAAAACGAGGGGAAAAAATAACAAAAACAAAACCCAACAAACACACAAACAAGACAGACAAAAAATACTGGCGGCTGCCGGCACCTCCGGAGCGCTCTGCTGGGCGAGGGTGCTCTGCGGAGGGGAGAGAAGGAAGGGAAAGCGGCCGTGAGCCGGACGCCGGAGTTTGGCAAACTGCGTCCCCCCTGCCCGCCCCGCTCTCCAGCGGCCGCGACTCCCGCGGGGCCGGAGCCC